GATCGGCTTTAGGGAGTTGTAAACAAAAAGAGTAAACTGATACTTGTTGGAGCTTCTGTCTTGTGTTGGGCTTTGTGGTTGAGTAGAAATGATAGGGTTTTTGACAAATCACCTACAATTACTTATATGCAGGTTATTTTCAAGGCAATATATTGGCTTCGTCTGTGGGCACAGTTACAAAAGTATGATGAAGATGAAGAATTCCTAATTGTTGTGTGTCGTATGCTTGAAACGACGGTTATACAACTGTTTGTCAATCATGGATGGAGATTTACCAATACACTGAAATAATGTTATTTTATCTTTATTGGTTTCCTTTTAATTTTAATTTTGGTTGGTGTGTTTGCTTTCATTTGGACTGCACTCTTACAGAGTGCTAGTTTGTAATAATTGGCTGTAACTCTTTTGAGTAAAGGTCGGGATGTTATTTCATTCCATTATTAAAAAAATATATTTTGTATCTGTGCAGAGAAATAAAGAAAATAAATACTATTGATCAAAAGAAGCCTAACAAGAAAGCCTAGCACACTGGCTCCCTCATCCCACCTGTCTTATCTTCTCATTATGTAGGCCCAATAGCCCAAAAGAAGGGGCAAAGTCAACCTAGACCACCACTGGTCGCTGTTGGTTGTTCCAACTTCCAAGTCGCAACATGTCCCTCCGTCTTGCTCATCAACGCAACGCCGCGCTGCCGTCGTGCACGCGCAGATGTGGAGTAGCCCGCGGCGTGCCGACGCCTATCGAGGCCTCACCCTCAACAGGTCGCGGACGCCCTTCCCTCGCTCGGTCAAACCCTCTCTCTCTCTCTCTCGTCATATGGCCCGCCCCACGCCTCCGGCACCGTTGGTCGCGCTGCCGCGGCCGCTTCCGCACAACGCGCGGTGCACCACTGCACCCCCTACTGCCCCTACCAAATCGCCTCGCCGAACAGTTCCGATTCGATTCAATAGGTAACCCGTTCAATCTACATTCTCCCAATGTGTTTAATGTGAATATCTGAACCCAATTTATTTTTTAGATTGTACTACATATGTTTTTTCATAAAGTATATCCCAATAAATCAAGAAAATTGCTGAAAATCTTGACGCAAGTTCTAATTCAATAAGCAGTACTAAAATATCATACTGTTGATCATACATACCAAATATTATGCTTGTGTTGTAAAACTTTTTTTTTTACCCCTTTCCATTTCGAATACCTAATTTCAAAATCCTAGGTCCGCCCCTGGCGGTACCGCATGGATGCCACGGGACCGACATGGTCCCGCCCTCCACCACGTTGCCGCACACCCAGGCCGCAGCATTGACGCGGTGCCGCAATTCTGGCCTACGGGACCAAAGCGGTGCCGCACGCTCATCTTACGTGAACGACCCAGCCGACTGTCTCGCGTGGCTACGCCGCAATTACGTAGCGCTCCCGCGTGCCCATCATGCCGTAAAGAGATATATTTGTGCAAATCTTTCCCATACATATATATAAATGCAAAATCTTAAAAAAAGTTATATTTTCAATCTATTATATTATTAAACAGCTTTAAAATGAGGCACCACGTTCGCTGTGGGGGACTAAAATTTCCCATATTAACCAGAGAAAAAGAAAATGAGAGTTCAAGTAAAAATACAATTTAAAAATAGCTGAAATTCAGAATTAAAAATAAGCAATATTGAGAGAAGAGTCAATATAAAAACCCGATACGAGATTAATCAAAATTTAGAATAAAAATAAAATAAAATCCAAAATTAGAAAAGAAAAGGAGAGTCCATGTAGGAATACAATTTAAAAATAACTGAAATTCGGAATTAAAAATCAGGAATATTAAGAGAAGAGTCGATATAAGAACCTAATACGAGATTAATTAATATTCAGAATCTCTATCTCTATCTCTACTACTTAAAATAAGAGGTTCTTCCGTCGTCCGTAAAAAAAAAGGGGCGAAAAAAATCAGTCTAATCCAAAACAAAAATAAGAGGTGCTTCCGTCGTCCGTAAAAAAACGGGCGAAAAAAATCTGTCTGATCCAAAACAAAACGGGCGAAAAAAACGGACGAAAAAAACCGGGTGAAAAAAAAAGAAAAACCAAATCTGTCCGATCAAAAAAGGGAAAAAAAAGGAAAAGAAAAACGAACCCGATTCCAAGGTAAAAAAAGGGCGAAAAGAAATAAAAAAGGAATCTGTCCAATTCCTAAAAAAGGGCGAAAAAAACCAGGTGAAAAAAAGACCAGCAAAAAAAAATGAATCTGCGTGGACGCGGTAAAAAAAGAGCGAAAGAAATAAAAAACAAATATGTCTGATTCCAAAAAAAAAAAGAATTATATGTGACGCGGTAAAAAAAATTGAATCCTATTATATTTGACACGGTACTATATATCTCTATCTTATCTATATCTACTACTTAAAAATTTAAAATGTTTCTGTTGTCCGTAATAATGAAAAAAGGGCGAAAAAACATTAGAACAAATAAAAGAAAGTTCGATTCAATTTACTTCCGTCGTCCGTGAAAATCTTATCTTATCTTAATCTCAATCTTTCCGAGGGGACGAGCGGTGCCCTCCGTCCTCACCCGCGGGATGAAACGCCAGCCAAAGCAAAAAAAAAACGAAATTGAGCAAAGGGATAAACTAGATTGAAGTTTCCAAAATTAAAAGAGGGTAAACGATATTGAAACTCCCCTAACTCGTAAAGAGGGAATAAAATAGATTGAAATTTCCCGACAAAATTCTCTAAATTCGAAGAACTCTAATTTCGGGTAAGAACCATAAGAGTCAAATCCAAATCAATTAAGTTAAGGGTTCGGGTTACTTACCGGATTTGAAGCCCCAGAGCTCACCGGAGCTTTCCAGGAAGCGGCACCGCCGCACCTTCACCTCCTCGCAGTCGTGTCGGGTTCCCTGCGCGCACGCTGTCCTGGAGCACCCCTCCACCATCCTTTGCTGAAGACGGGAAGCGTCAGCTTGGCGTCACCCCTACCGTCGACGAGGTCCAGGCTGCTCGGTGCTCGTCGCCGTTTGCACGCCCACCTAGCCGGACCGCCGACGTCGTGGCACGGTTTTGCGTCCCCCAGCCGGCGAAGCAGGAGCCGCTCGGCGGTCGTCGCTGCACGCGCGCACCAGCTTGCCGGACCACCGTCATTCCACTCGCTCGTCGCCGGAGAGAAATGGGATCATGAGAGGGATTTGGGAGCTAGGGTTTTGCCCCTCTCCCCGGTCGGTGCTTCATTCGGCGCGGGGACGATTGGAGCCGTCCATTAGATCGGACGGCTTAGATTCGCCCAGCGTCGGGCCGTCGCCGCCATTGATTATGCTACGCCCAATGGGCCGCGGAAGTGCATCGGACCGTCCCCGCATATGTAGGTCGCGCTTAGCTGCTCAGCTTGTGGGCCGTCGAATTGACTCAACTCGCCAAAGATGGGCAAGCCCAAGTTTGGGCCGGCTTGGGAAGGCTTGGGCCGAAAGCAAATTTGATCAAACAATGTGGCTCACATTTTTCAAATTAAAGTCCGTCGGATAAACTGCTAAGTAGGCTCAAAAAATAAATCTAAAACTAAATCCTAAATCCTATGCTAATTGATCAAATTAGACTCGGTTCTACCTATTTGTTAATATATCAAATTATACTTGATTTTTACAGATTTGAGGTTTTCAAGGTGTCACACCATCAAACGGTGTTTTTCCCGTTGCAACACACGGGCACTATTGCTAGTAAAAATAAAAATAAAATCCAAAATTAGCAACAAAAAAAAAAGAAGAGTTCAAGTAGGAATACAATTTAAAATTAACCGAAATTCGGAATTAAAAATAAGCAATATTGAAAGAAGAATCCATATAAGAACCCAACACAAGATTAATTAAAATTCAGAATGAAAAATAAAATAATATCCAAAATTAGAAAAACTAAAAGAGAGTTCAAGTAGGAATACAATTTTTAAACAACTTAAATTCAAAAATAAAAAAAATAAATTATGAAATTAGAAAAATAAAAAAGATTTCAATTAGGAATACAATAAATAACTAAAAATTGGTGATAAAAAATAAAGACTATTGAAAAAAAAAGATCATCTAAAACACATGACGAGATAAATTAAGTAACAGGTCTATAAAGAAGTAGAGTGGTGGCGGTTGATACGACATACAAAAACTATTAATAAAACACAAAATAGAATCCTAATGACGATTAAAAGGAGGAACGACAGGCAGACCGTGAAGCTAACGGGCAAGGCGGTTGCTGGGACTTCTAGAAATTAAAAATAAATAAATCCCATTGATAATAATATTCGATATTTAAAATCTCAATGGCAATCAAAAGGAGAAGCAGCAGACGGGGTGTATAGGAGTGTAGTTGCAGAGCCGCTGACGGTTGGCGAGACTTCTAGAAAATAAAAAATAAAAAATGAATTCTAATGATAATTATGTTCGACTTTTAGAATCCCAATGACAATAAAGAGTAGGCGGCGGATGGGTCGTGGAGGAGTATAGTGGCATCGTTTGACGGGACTTATAAAAATTATAAAAAATAAAACCCAACAAGACAATAAACTCTAAAAACTATAAGGACCAATTTTTAAAGGTTCGGAACTTTCAAAAAATAAAAAAACCCAATGATAATCATGTTCGATTTTAAAATCTTGGTGACAATAAAGAAGGAAGGCAGCAGGTGAGCCACAAAGGAGTACAATGGCAAAGCCGCTGACGGTTTGGCGGGACTTCTATAAAGTAAAAAATGAACCCGAACGATAATTATGTTTTATTTTTAAAATCCCAATGACAATAAAGAGAAAAGACAGTGGACGGGCCATAGAGGAGTATAATGGCAGCGTTTGACGGGACTTCTAGAAATTATAAAAATGAAACCCAACAAAACATTAAACTCTAAAAACTACAAAATTCAATTTTTAAAGGTTTCAGGGAGAATAAATAGAAATAGTGGTAGATTGAGCAAGCAAATAAAGAAGCATATGACAGAAGTAAAGGGTAGCAACTGGTGTGACTTTTAAAAACTATATAATTAGAAATATAGGGATGATAAGATTTGGATTTTCAAAATCTTAAGACAACGACATAGATATTTAATAAATTTTAAGTAAAATCATACTAAAAAAATATATGATTTTGTTTGGGTGCTAGCCGCAGAATTGCGCGGACCACCCAGCTAGTTTTTTAAAAGTCACCTTGCATGGCTTAACTTACACACCGGCAGTTCTCTCTAAAAAAACACACCGGCTTAACTATGTTTTTGCTTTTATCCCTCTTCCACAATTTCAGGACAAACATCAGGCGCAGTTGGTTCTTCAGACTGTGCAGAAGCAGCATTACTGGTTTCAGCATCCTTCGTCCATACTTTATTGTTGTCTAGCGGCCAATTAGCTACTCCTGAGCAGTGCTGAGCTTCGACAAACTCCAGCATTGGATACAGTTCACGCAATTCCTCCCAACAAAACTGCAGATCCTTGAGGCATCTCAAGCGCAGCACCTCTACTTTGCACTCCCCATTCTGAATTTCCAGACTATGCAACTTCCCACCAGTAAAATACAGTTTCTTTAAACTGTCAGAACTAATCGTCCCAAATTGTCTCGACGGGAAGCAGTAGAGATCCAGCTTTGAAAGATTAGAGGGAAGAACAAGGTTAAATTTTGCAGCATCTGATTCGTCGGCAGCATCTCGTGGAGATACCATTCCCCATGTAATCTTCAGTGATGCGAGACTGGCAAAATTGGCAAGCACTTTCAGCTCATCTTCTGCACGCTTCAGTTTCTTGCTAACACTGATGCTAAGTTTGCGAAGGTTGCTCAAGCTTACCAACTCGCCCAGATTGCAGGTGTTTCTTTTGTTAGAGTTTACTACCAAAAACCCTTTGAGGACTTGGAGCTGAGACATCTTGTTGAATCCCTCGGGCATATCAACGAGCAGGTAGCACTCGGAGACATCCAGATACTGGAGCTTCTGCAGCTTGGTGATCTCCTTTGCCAGCACCTGCAGATCGTGGCACGCCCTGAGATCCAACACGACCAGCTCGGCCAGTTCTCCAATGGCAGCCGGGATGGCCATAATTCTCGATATGCCTCTCAAGCTGAGGTACCTCAGGTTCTTGCACGCCCCGATCCCCTTGAGGTGGTGGTCGTCGATCAGCTCGATGTGGCTCTTCCTTGGATAGGCAATCTGGTCGACTGGGTCAGCCACCCGCCACTGCCCGAGCTGCACCGTGCCGAGTTGCGATCTGTAGGTGAACCACGCGGTGCTCAGCTTGACATAGCTCTGGCCAACGTTGTAGATCGTGGAGAGCTGCGGGTGGAACCTGGAGCCCTGGAGCAGCCCGCCATCGTGCAGGCATGCGCGGTGCGTCCTAGAGAAATCGTTGTTTGAGGCGGAGGCGCCATTGCCATCCGGATCAATCTCCAAGAACGCGCTGCTCCTTGCAACGGCCACGAGCATCCTGCGGATCCACGGGTGCACGGTGCACGCGTGGGCGGTGTCGCAGTGCCCCCGGCGGCGGACTGTGCGCACGAACCGCAAGTCGACGAGCTGCTGGAACAACTCATTGCCGTCCTCCAAGGATGACACGAACTTTTCGCCGATCCACCAGTGGATGAGGAGCCGCTTTTTTATGACGGCGCCCTCGGGGAAGGCTGCAAGGCAGAGGAGGCAATGCCTCAACTGCTCATCCATACCGTGCACGGCTCGCCGCAGGTGCGCCATCTGCTCGCCGTCACGGACACATCTCCTTATCCCTGCCATCGTCGGCGCAGAAGCCGAATCCTCCACATCCCTTCCTCTGTCCGGAGATGGTTCCTCTTGTATCTTTATCTTATAGGATCCTGAGATTGCCTCCCTGATGATGCCAATCTGTACTCCGACACCGGCGAGCTTCGGCTGGAGCGTGGAGATCTCGCCGCCGGCGGCGAGGGAATTGAGTACGTCGTCGACGAGCTCCTCGATGGGGTCGAAGAGGTGGACGATGCGCCTCTCATTCTCGCCCATCTTGACAAAGATAGCTTGGAGTTCTCTCATCATGTCACGGATGCTGTCGAGCTGAGCGAGGTCGGAGCTGCTCTCAGCGCCGCGGAAGCTCTTGGCGTCGCCGATGACCTGCAGGCTGGAGAGGAGAGGGGTGAGGATGCCGTCGTCGATGTACTTGGAGAAGAGGATGCATCCACCTTCACCTTCAGCTTCAGCTTCAGGAGTGGACATGGTGGATGCCTCTACAACTACTCTACTTGTGTTGCTCTTCTCTTTCCTCGTACCATTACCAGAGTACTAGACTTTCCCCGATCGGTAGAGATCTCCGGGAGGGGTAAGATTGTAATTTGCACAAAAAAACTAGAAACCCTAACAATGCGTCGTGCTTAATTGGGCCGCGGCTATTGGGCCGACAGTCGTGGGAGACTGCGAGTGGAGGGAGGCCCTGGCGCGGGAAAAGTACACGCAAGGTCCCTCAACTTGTTAGCCAGATACAAAATCGTTCCTCAACCGCAAAACTGGACATCCGGCGTCCCCCAACTTACAAAACCGGTCACAATAGGTCCCTTGGCGGTTTTGACCCCGGTTTTATCCCACGTGGTGGCTGACTCAGCGTGGGATCCACGTGGCCCCACATGTCAGTAAGCCATGTCATCACCTCTCTCTATCTTTCCTCTCCCTCTCTCTCTCTCACTTATCTCCTCTCGGCAGGCTGGGCGGGCCGGGCGGTGGGTGGGGAGGTCGCCGGGGTGAGGCGGGAGAGGAGGTCCGACGACCGCCGACCGGCGACGCGGCGGCGGCGACACGGGAGAAGGGGAGGGCGGCGGCAACCCAGCGTGGTCGTGGCGCCCAACAGACAGGCACGGGACGGGCGGCGGTAAGGACGGTGGCGGCGCGTGGTTGTAGACGAAGCCGAGGAAGACGGTGTCGACGTCTCCCCCAGCCTCAGCCACCAGGAAAGGAGCTGGGCGCGGGTGGCAGCCGTCGAGGGCGTCGCGGCTTCGGTCCTCGAGCGCCGTCATGGCGTCGCCGTCGTCGCTGCGTTCCTCCCGCCTCGCCACCACCGCCAAGCCGACGCCGACGCGTTCCTCCTGCCTCGTCGCCACCGCCTAGCTGACGAGCTCGCTAGCCTCCCCGCGCCTCCGCCGGCCGCGCGTGTGGCTCCAGCTCGGCCGCCGCGGTCACCCGCCGCTTCTCGTCGGTGAGCACGGAAAGGAAGCTGATGCCGCCGCCTTGCTCCCCTGAGCCAACGCCGACGCATTCGTCACGCCTCGACGCCGACGCCGGCCTCCCCATGCCTCCCCGCCGTCGTCACCGCGTTCCTCCCGCCTCGCCGCCGGATTTGGACTTGGGAGGAGCTCACCGGCCTCCCCGCGCCACCGCCGATTCCGCCTCCGCCGGCCGCGCGTGTGGCTCCAGCTCCGCCGCCGCTCCTCCTCTCCGCCGCGCCGACCCTCTTCCCCACCGCGTCGGTGACGTCGCCGCCGCCGCCGCCGCACCGGCTCTCCTCTCCGCATCAGCTATGATGGCCGCAGCCGCGTGCCACCATAGCTGACCGCACGAGGGGGACGGGGAGGCCGGCGAGCTCGCACCGGCCTGAGCTCGCGCGCCGCCACCCGAGAGCCGTTGTCGCCGGCCGCACCACCCTTCGGCCGCACGCTGCCTCCTGTGCGAGAGCAGAGAGCGAGAGGAAAGGAGAGAAATAGAGAAAGAGAGAAAGAGTGCTGACGTGGCTTACTGACATGTGGGGTCCACGTGGGTCTCACGCTGAGTCAGCCGCCACGTGGGACAAAACCAGGGTGAAAACCACCGAGGGACCTATTATGACCGGTTTTGTAAGTTGGGGGACGCCGGATGTCCGGTTTTGCGGTTGAGGGACGATTTTGTATCTGGCTAACAAGTTGAGGGACCTTGCGTGTACTTTTCCCCCCTGGCGCGGTCGGGTCGCCGTCGCCGTGTTCGGCGGGTGAAGTGTCGGCCGCGGCTGCAGGCAGAGGGAGGCGCTGGCACCGCCGCCGTCGAGCAAGTAGAGGCCTAAATTTCATGGGCCCTAGCCCGTCGCCCCTCTCGTTTCGGCCCAGGAACGACCCTGATGCTCTGCCATCTCATCTAATAGTTTAGGACAGGAGGTATCGAAAACAACAAATTAAATGCAAAACCGGGCAAATACATTTTCTCAGTTTGCAACTTTGCATACAACCAACTAATTTTTGACGGACAGGTGGATTGAGGGTCGCTCGGTGGGCTCCTCCTCTTGCAGTGCTTCCTTATCTTCGGGCTTTGGGTACGGTCGCCTCTATCCTCGTGGGCAACTCCTAGGTAGGGGACATCCGTGACGCTCTCACCGTACCAGTCATCTCCCAATTCCTGATGCTCTAGGATGCAGTGCTCCCTATCCAGCTCTCGCCAGGCATGACGGATCGTCTTGTTTGGCGTTGGATCAGTGACCAGCGTTATTCGGCCCGCTCAGCCTACCAGGTTTTCTTCCTTGGGCAACACTCCTTAGCTTGCGTCGATGTGCTCTGGCATGCAAAAGGCCCTGCTAAATGCAAGCTCTTCCTCTGGTTGGCGTTTCAGTAGCGTTGCTGGATGGCTGACCTTCTGCAAAAGCTAGGTATCGATAGTCATTTGGTCTGCCCCGTCTACGCTCAAGATCCTGAGACAGCGAACCACATTATCCTTGATTGTGTGTTCGCTCAGTAGGTCTAGCATCTTGTGTTGTCTATTCCTGGTTAGGCTACCCCACTTCGTCCCGTGGTGACTCGCTCCAAGCTTGGTAGCCGACCTCTAGGGCCTGTCTGCCTGAGTATCTTCAAGTGAGCTTCGACTCCGTAGTTCTTCTGGTCTCTTGGCAGTTGTGAAAAGAGTGGAATTCTAGGGTTTTCAACTCCTTTCTCAGTCTCTGTGGTTCTCGAGTCCATCCTCCAGGAAGACCGTCTGTGGTCTTCTGCTAGCACCGCGGCCTTTGGGGACTTGTTGGGAGCGTAGTGGGGCTCTGCCACCACCCTCCCTCTCTATAGGAGCAACGTTTCTCTAGTAGTAGTTTCCTGTCTTTAGCAATCCTTTTGTATTTTCTCTTTTTTCCTTGTCCTCTGGCAATGGACATCCAGCCGATTGCGTTGTGTAACGAAAACTTTGCTTTCTTCTAATATATTGAAAAAAATTAAAAAAAAAGCTGATGGAAAATATGATCCCTGCCTCCCTGGGATTTGCCATATTACAATCAAGGTTCATACAGTAAAGATAAACCATCCTAACTCACAATTCTAAGCTCTAAACATCAACATAATAGAGTACTGCACATCATCTAGACAGAATTTATGTAGTAGCCGCCATGCAATTCCACTCCAGTTCAAAGACATTTGCAGGGCATTCTCTAGCATCAAGTCCAGCAGTGTTCTCCCCGCAAAAAAAAAAAAAAAAAAAAAAAGTCCAGCAGTGTTCTGTCCTGTGTGGCAAGTTTTCCACTGCACAAGCAAGTGAGCAACCACTGTTGCCAACGCAAAGTATCCCTGTCTGTTTCCCCAGAACATAGACCGTCTGGTTCAGGAGTTGGCGGCCGGCGGGAGTCGACGAGGGCGGCGAAGAGTTGCCGGCGGTCGGCCACCGTCGCCTCCTCTGGAGCGGCGGTCGTCTGGAGTTAACAAAGTCGGCTGGAGGCTGCTGTTCGGCGCCCGTAGCCGGCCACGGCGACGGCGAGGTGAGGCGCGCTGCTCTGCACGAGCTGCCTCCGAGCGACAGATCTCGATCCTCCCTAGTGTGGATCTAGGGGCAAAAACGTCCACAAACTTATCAGAGAAAAGGAGGGGAAAGTGCATTTCGCAGCTCTGGCGGCATAGTTGAGCACTTGAGTGGTAAAATTGAGCTAGCTCTTTCTCCTCCTCCTCCTCTTCCTCTTCTTATTCTTGTTTTCTGATGTTCTTTTCATTTCCTGATTATTACCTTCTCGAGTTCCCACCAGATCGGACGGAGTGGCGGCGTTGTACCTGTCGTAGAGAAGAAGCGAACGGTGGGCGGCCGCAGGATGTCGGAGCTGGAGGTGTATAGCTTGCTGCAGAAGATGGCGGCGATGAGGGACGGCGGCGACTGGCCGGCCGGTGCGGAGTTGGAGTTGCAGGAGTTGTACACCGTCCTCGAGAAGGTGCAGCGCAAGATGGCTCACGCGGAGCCGCTGGTCGTCGTCGACAGCGGCAACTCCGCCCGCGCCGCCTACTCCCTCTTCCTCGCAGACCTTCGCCGCGTCACGTTCACCGTCGACCAAGCCCTCGATAGCTACTCCGCCAGCGCCCGCCGCTCCCCGTTCATGCACCGCGTGCGTTCGGTGGCTCTGATGGGGATGGCGGCATATGGTGTTTTCGCGTTTCTCTCGGCCCGTTCGTCTTCCCTGCTGCAGGAAAAGCTTTTGCCGCAGCCGCTAGAGCTGCGCCCCAAGATCGCCAGAAAGTTGGAAGAGGCCGTGAAGGACGTGAGGATGCTTCTCCGCCTCTTCAGTACCTACGTCGCCGATCTCCTGCCGCCGCCGGAGCACCAGCAGCCAGAGCCTGGTCTCGGCGCTGACCCCGACGATACGTGGTCTCTTGCCGATCAAAAAGAAGCCAACCTCCTTGTCAAAGGAAGAGAACAGGACAGATGTAAGGTACGGCAGATCCTCGAACATCCTGGAACGAAAGTGGTCGTAATTGTAGGAATGGCCGGGGCCGGGAAGACGAAGCTCACCAGGCATCTGCTGTGCGAAATGTGTAGTGCTACTACGCATGGCTTCAACTACTCTCTTTGGGTTACAGTGTCCCAAGATTTCAATCCAGAATGGATTTATCGGCAGGTGATGTCTAAGCTGAGCGATCAATTGAAGGCAGGCGAAGATGCTGAAAGCTTCTGGTGGTCTCTAAATTCAGATCTAAATGAAGGCTTGATCAATAAGAAGCATTTGCTTGTGCTCGATGGCGTCTGGAACGAAGACCCTCGTAAGTGGAAGGAACTGATGGATCTCCTCTACGGCAATTGCACGCAAAAGACCAAAATCATCGTCACTACCAGGATTCCTGCGGCGGCTGCTGCTATAAGCTCTGCAGTAATCTACCACCTGCACCCGTTCTCGGTGGAGCATACCTTGGAGATGCTCCAAACGATCAATGGGGAGCTGCCTGAGAAGTTGCTCGGCGGTGGCAGTAGCAACGCTACCGTGTCTACTGCTGCGGCTAAAGAATTGAGTAAGAGGAAGGTCGCAGAGAAATGCAGCGGTTTGCCCACCATCATAAAGTTCTTGAGCTCTTCTCTTGAATCTATCTGTGCAAACGAGGTTGCTGATCCACTAAAACAGTTTGATATGATGTGTGCTGGCAACCAAGGACTGCTGCACATCGCTGAGGCCAGCTATAACCATCTTCCACCACATCTGAAGCGGTGCTTCCTCTACTGCTCCTTGTTCCCATATCATCACATCTTTGATACTGACGAGATGATTAGCCTGATGGTTGCTGAAGGTTTAACACAGACTACAAGCAGGGAAGCCCAAGTGGATGGTGATATCAGCAGGCTTCAGAGTGAATGCTTTGATCTTGTCAATAATCCTGGGTCTAATGGGGGAATCAGAAGAGGATGCATGATGCATCGAGTATTGCACATCCTTGCACGGCACAAAGGGCAAGAACTATATAAAGCTATTGTGGGTGATCATTCTGCTGCTTTGAAAGAACATTCCAATATCAGATATATGTCTCTCACAGTTGATCATACAACTACGGAGCTCCCAGGGTCGCTGACTGCGCACACAGATTTGAGGACGCTGATCCTACTCAGAACGCAGAAGATGGTCTTGTCTGGTCAGAAGTCTGAAATCAAAGAGATCCCTTCTGATTACTGCCGCTATCTCACATACTTGCGTGTATTGGACCTGCAGGCAACCAAGATCAATAAGTTGCCTGAGAAAGTCGAAATGCTCTCAAATCTGAGGTATCTGAACCTTTCCCAAACCGATATTGACAAACTGCCTGAATCAATTGGCAGACTTCAGTACCTGGTATCCCTCAACATTTCTCAAACATGCATTGCGACAGTTCCAGATTATATTGGCAAAATTCACTCTTTGAGGTACCTCAATCTTTCTCAAACTGATATTGGAAAACTGCCTGATTCAATTTGTTCGCTCCGACTGTTGCAAACCTTGCAGCTATCACGCTGTGAAAAGCTTACCAAACTACCACAAAATATAGGATCCGTGACAAGTTTACAAAGGTTAGACCTAGAAGGTTGCTACTATCTATCCGAGATGCCTCAGGATATAAGCAACTTGAAAAATGTGAAGGAGCTAAATGTACTGGAATGTCCCTCACTGGATAAAATGCCTTGTGGGCTGAGTGCACTAACCAAGATTGAAGCATTGCCAAGGTACATTGCAACCAGTGGTGACAACAATCCCATATTGGAGCTGCGGGATTTGGTAAAATTGAAAAGACTGGGTTTGGAAAACATTGCAAATATTTCCAATGAGGATGCCGAGAAAATACAACTGCAAAAGAAACATGAGCTCGAGCATTTGACACTTAATTGCAATATGGATGCTGAAAACAGAAAATCAAGTTCTGAAGTGAAGGAGCTACTGGACTGTCTAGAGCCCAACCCAGGGTTGAAAATACTGGAGATCATTTCTTATGCAGGGGAAACGTTCCCGTGCTGGATGGCCAACACAAATCCACAACTTAAGAAGCTCACTCAGATCAGAATCATCAGATTGATTAATCTGAAGTGCAGCAGTCTCCCGCCGCTTGGGCAGCTACATCAACTTGAGACTCTAGAGATCAGTGGAATGAATGCCATAAAAAATGTCAGCAGTGAGCTACACGGTGAACTGAATGCTGATACATTCCGTTCTCTAAAGAAGATCGTCTTTTCTCATATGGTTAACCTACAATGTTGGCCGGTGGAAAATGGTGCTATATGTGAACATCTTAAAGAGTTGTCAATTATCCAATGCCCAAAATTTCACAAGCTGTCGATGAATCTTAATATTGAAAAGCTGACTCTATTGATGAGTCCTCACGAATTGCTTGGCAGAGAAGGATTGGCAGGTGTTGCTAGGAGTCTAAAAAGCCTATCTATTTCACTGTGTGAAGAGCTATCAGCATCATCAAATTGTGAGGGTCTAACGATGCTTTCTAACCTTGAGGAGTTAAAGATTTCTGGATGTGATGAACTGGAGAACTTACCGCCGGGTATGGAAAATCTTACTGCACTCAAAAGATTGTCAGTTATTGGATGCCAGAAGTTCCAAAATTTAACGGACTTACTGGAATGCACTGCTCTGAGCTCCCTGGTCATATCAGATTGTCCAATGCTACCATCCGTCCCACAGGGTTTGAGAGGGATCACAACTTGCGAGTAAACTAACAGCGGTATAGTTCAAAAACAGATAGAAGAACTCTAGCACAAATATATCAAGTATGTGAATGACCAAGCTTTTGCGTCATTTTTTCTCATAATCCTATCCACATACAGTTTCAATTTTTAGATTTATTTATAGATGCCAAAAATGTTTCTGATCGGTATCTCCAATGTATTTTATATAAGTTTCACGGCTATCAAGATACACTATCCTTGTTACTTTGCCTTTATTACTTACATCGATGATACACTAGCAGGTGGATTTTCATTAAATTTTATTGAATAGTCATCTCGTTCTCTTAAGATTTTAAAAGATAGAACCATTGTCACACCCCAATCCGGCACCGCCATACAACAGCACCTGATAGAAGCGTGTCGTAGCAAAAACGGCGCAAACCACTTCCTACAAAACCACGATATCGGTACTAGTCCCAGAACATAGCGCTGGTATCTACGGTGACAATTATGAATCATTACAATCTTGAATTTAAATAGAGGACTTATTTACCTTAACTTAGGCTGCAGCTCTCAGGGGAACCCGATAATGCAACAGACGACGCGGAAGCAGCAACAACAGGAGCAAAGGCAGTGGAAACCAATGAATGAATACCCAATACCACAGGCAATAGCTTGGAACTAGGACGAAACCCTAATCTTTACTTCACTTCAACTTCACCTTCAAAGTTGGTAGAACTATATATAGAGAGAGCAAGGTTACTTACGTACACAGCAAGTCAGGGAAACTTAGGTGGTTATTGCAAGCTTCAAGGGGACCGTTATTTTTGCAATCGATTTTGTTTTCCAGTTTTCAACAATCTAAGTATGTGCTTTCCACAACCAGCGTGAGACAAGTCTCAGCTCGGTCGGGAGTGAGAAGTAAACCAATTTATTTGCAAGATTTGCACACCTCCCAGAGTTGGCCTAAGCTGGTTTCCCAAACCAAACCAATTTTCCAATCTTTCAGAGTTTGGTTGCCTCCAAACAACCAGATACTTCCAGGGATTCCCTGTCCCAATGTCTCCCTAACAGCCACTTGCTTTTTGAAACATCAGGTTTCCCAAACGGCAACACCATTTCATAAAACAGGGTAAAGCAAAAACTACGCTAAGAATCACCTCACATCCGCCCATTACCGTGGGCAAAGCTGTTCGAATAGTTCGTTAATCTCTGCAAAGGGGTACACTTTACCCACATGACATTACTAACCTAGGTCACCTAGCCCGTGCAGAATAACCACGTCTGGTGACTTTAAGGTTTTCACGACAAGACATTTCCAAAGCCGGCACAGGGTCACCATATGCCAACGAGAGGGGTCTCAGACCAACAGCAGGTTAGGTCCCAGACCATGCTGTGCCAGGAAGCCTAGGGGTTCTCCCTGACACCACCCCGACGAATCCACTTGTCCCTTGGCATCAAGGTTTCCCTGGCCTAGCTAGTTACTCAGCCAGGGGTGTTCCATTTCACCTATATGGTCGCACTTGTTATATGCTCGGATGTAATTCCAAAGGAATCAATCCTTCAAAGCGACCGCACAAGCATCCCGCCCAGGAATGGACTTGTGTCGTGAGTTTTATTTTTAAAACTCATTTTCTTTCACAATGCACCGACCCAGGCTTGGGTTTTTCCAATGTTTTTGTAAACCAAGTTTTTAGTCAAGGCGTTTCTCAGATTTTAAGTTTGAGGGCGACCGTCGATACTCACACAGAGTGCACGAATACCGAGGCACAACACAGGTGGATTCAAGGAAACATGATATGGCAATTAACAAGGGAGAATCAAATGCAACAAGTTAGGTAGGTCCACCGATTGCCTCGCAGATGGGGCAAATAGCTCAAGTGCAATCCTATCAATGCATAAATATTTTGCAAGCAATATAATTAAGTTCAAATATAGGCTCAAGATGTCCAAGGTGGCTTGCCTTGCTCAAGGTCTTGAGCTTCACGAATCTTCAAGAAATCCATGCTTAGAAGTAAATCCGGTAACTGCAACTATACGCAAACAATCAAAACCTAAACAAGGGACAAAAAAAAAGATCATATTAAAACTAATTACTAGTGCCATTAAATATGTCACAATTTTAGAGTATTACTGGAAGTGGAACAGAGTCAAACGGAATTAGGGATCAACAAATATAAGTTTTGGAAATTTATCTGATTTTCTGGACAAAGGAAAAGGACTTGTTGAATTTTTGGTAACATGCAGGGCCAGCAAATGTGGTGGGAGGAGAGAGGGACTTCGGTCCACAGGTGGCTGGTGAGGGACTGGATATCGACTTTTGTTGAGCGGGTCGAGAGATAAAGAATCGGCTCGGCAGCTCACAAGGCTAGGGGTGTGAGCAAGGCGGGGAAACTGTTTTAAACACTCCGGTGGACATACACCTGTTTATTACATGTTATCTAAAAAGTTATGAAAAGTTTTCAAAAATTTTGACATAATAGGTTAATATGTAATATATCACTTCACAAACATGCAAATTCAAATTCAACTTCTACAAGTTGTAACAAAAATAACAAATTTGACTGTGAATATACGTATGCTAGTTAGAGTTTAATTTGTTATTTTTGTTACAATTTGTAGAAGTCGAAGTTGAACTTATATGTTTGTGAAGTGATAATCTATCTTGTAAATTTTTTTAAAAATTATTTGTAATCATTTAGTTGACATGCAAAAAAGGGTGGATGTCCACCCGAGAGATTAGAATCCATCTTCGGTCTTGGGTCGCAGTCAGAACGATATCGCACACATGGTCTCGGATTCGCAGTTTCTGGGAAAGCACAGGAACCGTTAGCATCCCCGTGAGCAAAGAGTTTACGTACTTGCACTTCCTCTCCTTCCTAGTTGTTAGGGCATCCACAATGTACTTCAAAAGTGGTCCATAAGCAATATAATATTTGATTCAGCCACCTAGCAACATTGTGGAACTAGTCCATAGGGAAGAAATAACAAAAGCTACCCATAAGCATATGGGCTGCCCATAGAGAATAAAATATATTATTTGTCTCTATATCTTCTCTCCTACTAATACTATTTACTATTCATATACATTGTGAAGGTTACAATAGTTAAAGTTCATATATGTGGGTCCCATCTTTATAGACTACTTTTACCATATACATTATTGTTGCCCTTATTCCTTTTTCATGTATAATCGAGATAATATCTATCTATCTATTATATTATTAAAACAACCTTAAAAGAGAGCATCATGTTCACTGTGGGGGTTAAAAATTCCCACATTAATCAGGAAAAAAAAGAAAAGAAGAGTCCAAAGAGAAATACAATCTAAAAATAGCTAAAATTTAAAATTAAAAATAAGCAATATTGAAAGAAGAGTCCATATAAGAACACGATACGAGATTAATCAAAATTTGGAATAAAAATAAAAAAAATGATTAATCAAAATTTGGAATAAAAAAACAGGGGCAAAATCACAAACCCTAATTAAAAAGCAGGGGTAAAATCACAATTGAATCGTAAAGAAGGGCAGAAACACAATTGCCCCAAAATGTTTCAATAGTTTAAATCGGGCGTTGTTTCACCTTATATAAAAACAATGTTTCAACAAATAGCAAAAGAATGTTTCATTTCACCGCAACATTAAATCCATACATAGCAAAACATTGTGAGTACACTAGGTGAAACATTTTGTGGAACAAAAAATGAAACGAATTCTCTTAATAGAGGGTTTCCAAAATATGTGGGTGATTTGTTACAAAAGAATGTTTCAATTCGCTGCAACATTAGATCTATACATAGCGAAACATTGTGAGTACACTAGGTGAAACATTTTTGATGGAACAAAAAATGAAACGAATTCCCTTAATAGAGGGTTTCCAAAATATGTGGGTGATTTGTTGCAAAAGAATGTTTCAATTCACTTCAACATTATATCTATACATAGTGAAACATTGTGAGTACACTAGGTGAAACATTTTTGGTGAAATAAAAAATGAAACTAATTCCCTTAACAGAGGTTTCCAAAATATGTGGGTGATTTTTTGCAAAAGAATGTTTCAATTCACTGCAACATTAGATCTATACATAGTGAAACATTGTGAGTACACTAGGTAAAATATTTTTCGTGGAACAAAAAAAATGAAACGAATTTCGTTAATAGAGGGTTTCCAAAATATGTGGGTGATTTGTTGCAAAAGAATGTTTCAATTCACTGCAACATTAGATCTATACAAAGTGATACATTGTGAGTACACTAGGTGAAACATTTTTTGTGGAAAAAAAATGAAACGAATTCCCTTAATAAAGGGTTTCCAAAATATGTAGGTGATTTGTTGCAATAGAGTATGTAGTGGAGATACATGGCAGGAGGGAATAGGGACACCTAATAGGCCCACAGGATCACGCGCGCGCGTGGGGGGGGGGGGGAGCGCCCGATCCTGCTCCACCCCCACCGGTCGCCCGGGTTTAAGCATTTCCACATATTTTCATAAGGGATATACAGTTATATCTATTATCTATTATATACTAAAAGTCCATTAAACTTCCTACAAACGCTCTCAAGTCGCCACATGGCACTCTAATAAATTAGAGAAAATCCTAGAAATTCTAAGAAAAAAGCAAAACATCTACCCCTTAATTTTCACTTAAATTGGTGGGTCCAATATTATACACCGTTAGATGAAATTGATCTTAAAATAAACCAAACCAAATACTATGGGCCCCACCTCTCCTCCTCCCTAGATATATACGTACGTACATTCTTTCATTTCTCTGTTTTTTTTCAGTTTTTCTTCTTTTTTTCATTTATATAAGTACGTACGCTTCTTCTTTCCTTTCTCTTTTTTTTTTCATTTTTTCTTCTTTTTTCCATTTATATAATAGATATATATATTTTTAAATAATCATAATTCATGCGTACGCTTCTTCTTTCAATTCTTTTTTTCCTTTTTTTACTTTTTCCATTTATATAATAGATATATATATTTTAAATAATTATATTTTACAAACAAAAAATCTACCATCATACAACTCAGGGGTAACTAAATTATCTCTACAATTTTTGAAAATAAAATTTACATCATTATCTGTTACTCATTAAATTAATAATAATGTAAGATAATTTTCATTTAAATTAGTGTACTCATTACTTTGTACTATTATGTTTAAATAATACACTATTTTAAAATAAAGTTTACACAGTTATATGTGTACATATGTACGTGTACGTACGCTTCTTTCGCTTATTTTTTTTCTTTTTTCCATTTATATAATGGATATATATTTTTTAAATAATCATAATTTTACAAACAGAGAATCTACCATCATACAACTCATAGGTAACTAAATTAGCTCTACAATTTTTGAAAATAAAATTTACACCATTATATGTTACCCATTAAATTAATAATGTAATATAATTTCCATTTAAACCGGTGTACTCATTACTTTGTACTATTATTTTTAAATAATGCACTATTTTAAAATAAAGTTCACACATTATATTGTATACATACGTACGTATGTGTACGTACGCTTCTTTCGCTTATTTTTTCCCCTTTTTTCTTCTTTTTTTCTATTTATATATGGATATATATTTTTTAAATAATCATAATTTTACAAATATAGAATCTACCATCGTACAACTTGCATGTAACTAAATTAGCTCTACAATTTTAAAAAGTAAAATTTAGACCATTATATGTTACCCATAAAATTAATAATTACCACTTAAACCGGTGTACTCATTAGTTCCCAATAGACTGATTTAGTCTTAATAGTATTAGTGTTGGAAGAGGGTTTACTTTGTGCTATTATTTTCCAATAATGCACTATTTAAAAATAAAGTTTACATAATTATATTGTGTACCTATCAAATAAACAATTTGAGATCTATATTAACTAATTTGTACGTGCATTTAAGCCGATGGACTCATTATTTAAATCACTGGATTTATTTTTTATTACATTGGACTATTATTCTCCAATAATGCATTGTTTCAAAATAAAGTCTACACTATTATATTATATTATGTACCCATTAAATTAACAATTTAAAATCTATATTAACTAATTTACACTTACACTAGAACCGGTGGACCCATTATTTAAATCATCGGATCTATTGTTTTCTTATAAATAAAGCTTTCGAAGTTCTCTTTTTTGGCCCGCTACACAATGCACGTCTGCACTTTTGCCTTTTGTACGCGTGACAAAGCGTCGTGTCTAAGGCATCTAAGGTGATTACCACCGCCGCTACGCTACCACTTTGCCACATATCAAGTCATATATGGAGTTGATTAATTTTATTAATAACATGTAAAGTAAATTAAAGGTGTGATGCCGTGAGAGAATAATTAAGCACCGCGGGTTGAATTTTTTCCAACACTTAGCTCTGTTTAACCTGAAACTAAGAGTTGATTATAGAATAATTATAATGTATTGTGTTATGTCATATTTGGATTTTGTACTATTTATTCGTACAGGTGAAAGAAATCATTATGTTATAAATGTGAGCATAATATTAACGAATATTAATAGAACTTTTACTAAGACAAGCGTGCTATAAGAGAGTTTAACCCTCTTTTTTTTCCCAATTCCATAGTTTGGGTTTTCGTTTGCACGCTTTTCAAGTTTCTAAATAGTGTCTTTTTTAAACAACAGTTTATCTTTTTAGAAGTCAATTCATTCATTTGTACCCTCAAATAGCTATCATATAAATAAGCTATTCTAAATCCTAAGTAGTACATGTTTTTTTTTCATGTGAGTCATGGTGATCAGTAAATTGGGGATCAACAGATAATCAAAGTCGTAAGATAAATATGTAAGAGCTACTATGAACAACTGTAAATAGGTGTCAAAATTAATTGCTATTAATTAGACATCTAATGGCTTGCTAGCCACATAATTAATTTCTCTCTAGATGTATATAAACATGGACGAAGCTGCAATAAATAATACCATATGCCCCATGCATATATATTATGTGGTTAATATTCTAATTACATGTGTTAAGTCCTTTAAAATTTCTTAAAATGCTCTCAAACTGCTACGTGGTGCTCTAATAAATTAAAGCAACTATTAAAAATTCTAAGAAAAAAAAAAGCAAAATATCTATTATTTAATTTTCACTTAAATCGGTATGTCCAATATTATAAACCATTAGATTAAATTGATCCTAGAACAAACTAGATAGTACGAGGTTCCACCTCTCCTCCCGGGGCATAGGTACGCACCTACGTACGTGGGTACGTATGCTTCCTCTCCCTTTTTTCATTTTTCCCTTTCTTTTTTTTCCATGCATGCGCTTTCCTCCCGTTCTTACTATATCATGCGTCTTCATGAGATGATTTAATCATAAGAATTTTAAGTATCTTGCTCTATAAATGGATTGTATAATAATTAACTTGCAATAGTTTCTTATTTACTCGAGAAAAAAAAACATGATTCAAAAGTCATAAGTACTTAATCCATCTCCTACTCAAAAGTTTGTGAATGATTTTTTTAAGATACTTTAAGAAAAATAGAACCCTTAAATTATTATAAAATAACATTATCCAAACATTAGTTTGCCCTTAATTTATGAGACAAAATTTTCGAACAAACAATAATCTTATCTTTCAATAATATAATGCCCGCGCATCCGCGCGGGCCACCTTCCTAGTTGCAGTAAACCAAACAGCCAGGCAAATAGTTGTATCCACCTTAAGCCACAAAGAGTTTTATGTAACAGAAAATGGTGTAGTGTTGGTTGTTAGAGTTTATGATGACATCATATTGGTATCTATGGGTATCATTTCTAACACCTAAAATATCATATTAACATCAGCATAGTACCAACATGCTAGAATTTGATACCTATATGTATCTTGTCTGGTAACTGCAGTACTGCAGTGTTCTTGAAGGAACGATATAGGCCGTGTTTAGTTCCACAGACAATTTTTTTTAAAAGTATACGGACACACATATGAAATATTAAATGTAGACTAAGAACAAAACAAATTACAGATTCCGCCTGTAAACTGCGAGATGAATCTATAAGCCTAATTAATCCGTCATTAGCAAATGTTTACTGTAGCACCATATTGTCAAATCATGGCGTAATTAGGCTCAAAAGATTCGTCTCGCAATTTACTTGTAAACTGTGCAATTATTTTTTTCGTCCATATTTAATGCGGCATGCATGTATCCAAATATTTGATGCGACGGAATTTTTGGAAGTTTGAAGGGAAATAAACACAGCTATAGTGTTCCCTAGTCATCCTCTTATGTAACAGTCTCAGATATCAACAATGAGCTTGGCTCTGGCGTGGCCAGACTCCACCCTGTATTGGTCTCCCACGCCGAAGTGCGCCATGAGCAGCCACACCACGGTGAGCAGCTCGCCTCCCTGGCTGAGCTGCCTCGCGTGGGCATTGCCACTGCACTTTCCGGCCGAATAGCACAACATCTCCACCCACACGGCGGCCATGAGCTGCCATCTCCTCTCCTCAGTGATGCCCTCAAGCTCCATGAGCTGCTTCGCGAGCTTGCACGCCTGGAAGAGCACCGACTTGCTCCTGTCCCCCTTCACGTCCCGTGGCTCTGCGATCGACGTGTCCACGTCCGTGAGCCTGTTAGCACATCCCTTCTCGTCCCTGGTCTCGTCGTCTCGCCGGAAGAAGTTCTTGGCCTCCGCGCAGGTGTCACCAAAGCGGATTTGACCGATGCTCGCCGTCATCATGAACGGGCGCATGACCAGCAGGAACAGCATGTAGTTCGATATCTCCCTGCTCACGGTCACCAGATTATCCGGGTCTCTTTCTCGTGCCGTGGTGCCATGATCGTCGTCGTTGTTGCCGGCAGGGGCCGAGCTGGAGACGCAGAGGCACCGGAGACACTTGGACGACGAGGAGCAGCTGATACAGCATCCGTCATCATCCTTCTCCGCCGGAGCCCGATAATGTTTGTTGTAGAAGCAGAGTTCTGTGGCGATGTGCCAGAGGAGGATGCTCTCGTCAAACTCGCAGTCGACGCTCCAGCCCAGCTTCTGGTAGAGACCCTTGCGCTGGAGCGCCCACTGGCCACGGTGCTCGCCGACCTTCCGGTAGCTCTTGGGATCCTTGCTGATGCTGCTTGCCTTGCTCTTTAGCTGTTCGAAGATGTGGCTCTTCAGCTGCTCCGAAACGCCGATGCTCGTGGTGTACCTCCAGCTGTCCCACATCGTCTTCACGCGGAAGTTCCACCTCCACTCCAGCCACTCCATGGGTTTCTTGTACCAGCGGGACCTGTCCTTGACACAATAGCTGATCAGGTTGTACTGCGACATCTTGTTCGACCATCTAGGCCGCTTCTCTGGCTGGAACAGGCCGATCAGCCAAAACACCGCCGCTGCCACGGGGCGGAGCGCTTCTGTCCTGCGCATGTCGGTGTAGGTCCAGGAGGACACGACGATCAGGAGAATCGCGTAGGTCTCCAAGAAGATGGCTCCGCCCAGGAGCACGAAGGAGATGTTGATGTCAACCTGCTTGTAGTAGCCTCGCATATCACCCAACGCGCGGGTGAAGAGCACGAGCGACACGACCGGCGCGGCCAGGGTGAAGAAGCGTAGGCCGCGGCCTAGGCGACCATGAATCACGAGGGCCTTGGAGTGGAGGCATTCGTACATGAGCACCAGCTCGATCTCCACCACCTTGTACGCCTGTTCCATCTCCAGCCTCCGGAAGAAGGAGAGGCTGTCGATCCGGTCCTGGAAGCTAAGGATGAGGTCGACGAAGAGGCGGCGGAAGATCTGAAAGAACCTGTGCGCACTGTACACCAGGTCGCCATATTCCTGCTGCTTGACTTCGACATGGTGGTCGTCGTCTGGAGGCCGCTCCTGCACGATGACGATCTTGGCCACCAGCCCGGCGTCCGTCCTCGACTGGCACTCCTCCACGAATTTGGCGTAGTTTGGCCCCGGATCTGGCGGCGTGAGCATGGAGCTGCGCAGGCAGCCCATGCTCGCCGCCCTGAGCGCTAGCGTCCGCTCGCCGTACTTGGTGATGCCGGCGACGAACATGATTATCGCCGGGATCATCAGCCGGACGCCGGGCCGTGATTTCCAGTAGACGTATCCGGCGAGAGCGACCTGCGACAGCAGGCTCAGGAAGTGACGCAGCCAGAGCTCGTTGTCCTCCACGGCGAAGGCGGTGATGGTGTCCTGCCCCCCGAGATGAAGGATGAGGAAAGGGGCCCAGAAGACGAGGAGGTGCATCTCGCCATCGAGTGAGCCGTCGCAGAGCTTCTGGTTCTGGGACAGGTTGCCCATCGCGTAGATGGCGATGTAGTCGGCGAGGAGGTAGGCAAGCCAGAGTGGCATGCGCAGCCACCAAGCGGCTTTGCGCTTGCGCAGGCCGCCGGTGAAGAGGAGGAAGACCTGAAGGGATAGGCTGGACAGGACAAGAACGCGGATCTCCCACTCACCCCACACCTCCCGTAACCGTCTCAGGTTCATCTCCGTCTCCAAAATTCTCCAATGCTCCCTGGTTTCAATCTCCCCGGCTAGCTGCTAGTGAAGCTCCTCCTGCATCATCGATCGAGGATAAGCATTTAGCACTGTGCTTGCACAAGAGGAATGCTTTCTTTTTTTCATTTGCAAAAACGAACCGTTCTCTCTCAGTTTGGACATTTGTTTACTATATGGCTATCCATGGACAATGATTTTTTTATAACTAGGTGCCATAGCATCCATCATTTACATACGACATAAATAGTTATAGAAAAAATTGAAAAAAAATTAGTAACATCGTTTGTACAACTAGAGAAAGAAAAATAATAAAATCAGAAAGTGAATAGTACACGTATATTGTAGATAAAATTTGTTATTTTTTCTTCATATATCGATCGAATTTATACTTGCATGTTTGTATGATGTCTCATATTATCATGGTTTATCTTATCAAATTTTATGATATTTTTATATAACTGTTTAAATTACATGTATACATATAGATGTGGCACCTAGATATAGAAAATACTTTCTGGGCCATCCAGTTGAACTATTAAAGTCAACTAATCATTACGGACACAGTATTTGCTCTATCGTGAGAGCAACAAGGAGGTGTGATCTCTTGCAAACTAAAGCGCACATGCCAGATGCCATTGCCCATTGACCCAAATATTTAACGCAAAGTTGCCACCTATTAATTCCAAGCTAGTTTTCTCTCTAGACTCCGCTGGCTCTAGACTTCGCTGGTCAACTTGCATTATCAGCCAACGGTTGGCTCGTTAGTCGTTATCTGGCTTAGGGGTGTGTTCATCTACACATCGACCCAGTCTAAAACGGAAATTAGCTGTTTTTACGGTTTGAGTTATGCGGGTTTGACGGAAGCAACTTCGAGTCGGACACCCAATTGGAGAGATAAATATCGGGCGTCATTACGGGGTGTGTTTAGATTAGGGGATATCACATGTATAACTTAATTTTAATTTTAGAGTGTCACATCGGATATGATATTATATAGGGTGTCGGATATGATATAGGGTGCCGCATGGGTTTTTTTTGACACTAATAAAAAACTAATTACATAATCCGTCAGTAAACCGCGAGACGAATTTATTAAGACTAATTAATCCATCATTAGCAAATGTTTACAGCTTACTGTAGCACCATATTATCAAATCATGGAGCAATTAGGCTTAAAAGATTCGTCTCGCAAATTAGTCGCAATGTGTTGAATTAGTTATTTTTTAGCCTATATTTAATATTTCATGTAGGTGTTCAAACGTTCGATGTGATGAGATGTAAAATTTTAGGGTAGGATCAAAACAGGCCCTATGTCGTCCGATCAATTCTGTATGCACGATCGAAGGGACTCTGCATGCTCGAAATGACTTTGAGGGACTCTGCATGTTGATTTCAGTGACTTAGAGGGTGTTTAGATCCCACACAAAAAATTTACATCCCGTCACTGTTAACGACCAAATTTGGTAAATCATAGATCGGATTCGAAGTTACAATCAAAGCGGATTTGGAGAGACTTTGTTTCTCAGAAACAGAGTACGCATCGGCTATTGACTGCATCGGCTGACACTGAATCAGACAAGGAGAAGCGGATGTAGCCGATCCCCGGAAGATGGTTCTAGAATCATTGTTGGGATCGGTTGAGGCGCCGCACAAGCATTGCCACGAGTGGAAAGAGTCCAAAGAAGACAATTGTATCTAATTAATATTTTAGTAGTTTTCTTAGAGATATTTTCGGTAAGAGTCCTCCTAAGAGGCTTATTCGTATTTTTAAGTTATAATAGAGATAGAGTCGTGTCCAGCAATGACATATTATGTATTTCAGGTATAAATATGGCCGGACACCTTGTAAAAAAGGAGATCAATAATAATACTTTTGGCGCATCACCACCTTTATCTACACTTATTGTTTTCGATGAGTTCTTACTTTCGAGTTGGGCTGCATTGGGTTCGATCTCAGACGAAAAGGTAAAGCTTGTTATGGCGGTTTGCATTCTCGGGATTAGTGCCTACATCTTCATGACAATCTAATCCTGTTCATGTAAATCGCCAAGTTATCATATATGCTATATAATCTAGATCAATATCGTTATCTGACCCCATTGGCTAGTCTCTATCATCAAAGACAGCCGATAGGGTTAGATACCAACATTGAATTAGATTATATAGCATATCTACCATCTAAAAAAGGCTTTTATAAGCTTGTTTAGATCTTGTGTTTTTCTTCGTGCTTAATGTTGCATCAGTTAAGTTTGATCTATTAAGTAACGTGTAGAACCATAATATCTAACTTGTTTTATAATTGCTAGTAGAGATAGCATCAGAGATTCAGCCGATCTTACCTGGTTTAGTCATCTTGTTTCCTTGTATACTTACTTGATATGCTAAACCTGCCCTTTATATTAAGATATCGCTTGGTCAGAATATATTAAGCTTGTTGTTAATCTATTAGGTCATCCTGTTATTAGATTGATTTTGGTTCAGTATATTTCATCTTCATTGATATCTTGGTACAGATTAGTATCGGAGTACTAGCCAATACATATTAGGTTTGCTTCATCGGCTATGCTATGAATCTATATAATCTTTACTTTAAAGTATTTTTAGACATACGTGATTTATACTGTCTCGGCGTGCTGTCCGATCTATCCCAATCACTTGGTTTAAGCATAATTCGGATTATATAGTTATTGATATCTATAGCTGATCGAGTAGATCTATTTATTCTTGCATTACATGTTCTCACTACCGATCTGATTCATATCGCATCGCCCTGGTGTTAAATGATACGTCATCGGCAGTCTAGCCAATCGACTATTGTTTATGGATTTAACCTTGTTCTTTTTTATTTCTTGTTGGTAGCAAGATCAAACCAACTGGCCGATGACGTATATTCAAATTTAAAATCCCAATAACAATAAGGAGAGGAGGCAGCGGATGGACTATATAGAGGAGTATAGTGGCAATATTTGACGGGACTTCTAAAAATTATAAAAACAAAACTCAACGAGACAATAAACTCTACAAACTAAAAGGTCTAATTTTTAAAGGTTCCAAAGAGAATTAATAGAAACAGTGGTAGATCGAGCAAGCAAATAAAAAGAGGAGTGATAAATAAGTAAGAGATAGTAACTGCGTGACTTTTAAAAACTATAAAATTAGAAACACAGGGATGATAAGGTTTGGTATTTCAAATACTTAAGACAATGAGATAGCTATTTATCAAATTTTAAATAAAACATATTAAAAAATAGATAATTTTATATGGGTGCTAGCCGCACAATTGCGCGAGCCACCCAGCTAGTTTTAATAAGATTAACATTAAGTACATCCAAACATGCCCATGTTCTATTAACATTAGGAAACGTGGTGCCTCCTAGTATCTACTCGAGCACCAAAAAAAGCCTCCTCTAGATAAGTATCATCTTCAAGTAAGGTGTTTCCAAGGATGGTATAGTCATCTTCACTGATGGTTTCTTCAACAAGCCGAATGATTTCTTTGTGCTTCTTGACTTGAGTAGTAGAATATCCTCCTACAAGAACAATGTACTTCCCTTAAAAGCATATCATTGATTGAAACAAGTGAATAGCAGCAAGTTAGAAAGCTTCTAAATATAAATTTTTTTGTGGCGTTTCCTGAAAGAGAAAAATACTCCATGATACAATTGCGAGATTACACTTTAAAGGGAATTTTTTTTGGAAGATAACTATTCACATATGGCAACAAGAAGATGATGGTATACTAAAAGTCAATTAAACTTCCTAACGCTCCTAAGCCACCACATAGCATCCCTACAAACACTCTCAGGTCACCACATTGGCGCTATAGAAAATCAAAACATTTAGCCATTGATTTTCATTAAATCTAGTGGACCCATTATTTTCCACCCTCCCAAAAATACGTACGTACTTCTTTTTCTTTTTTTCTTTCCCAAACTAATAATTCGATTCCATATTATCTATGCTTTTATGCTTTAATTTATAAAAATATATTTGATTAGTATTATTAAAAATTACTCGCTTGTACGGTAAAATAATGTCACATTACTAAATTATGGTTTTCTTTATTTATATATTATTAGAAAATTAACGAACAAATATATTATTTTGAAACCAACATCCTCTCTCCTACTTAGACTACATTTGATCTAGCTCATTGGTTGACCTTATCCATTATCCAGGGCACGTTAAACGACGTAGGTCGTCAGCACAAGATTAATTAAATATTAAATATTACAAACTTGAAAATAGATTTATTTTTCTAAAAAAACCTTTGTATAGGAAGTATTTGCAAAACATGCACAATTTAGTAGTTCGGAAGGCATGATCACGATAAACGAGGGAGTAGCCAATCCAATAAACACTTTAGAACTTAATCTTAAATTTATTACTTTTGTACTTAAACACTTAATATGTAGTATATAATATACTTTGTCAATCCAAAACAGCCTAATGTATCGATCGTATGTTCCTACTAATCCTAATGTATATAGATTCTATATACAAACCACTATCCACCAATCGCCAAGTCATATTGTTTACAAGGTATCCGTGCATAGTGCACCTAATATTTAGCTGACATGCAATGGACATGTGTGTGATCAAGTACAGAAAATAAAGGAAGATAGTAAGTGGGCAACCATCAAGAAATGATAGATAAGTAGAGGATGCCATCAAGGCACAACAAACAATAGTTGAGTACAAATAGATTGTGATTATGAGTAATAGTGTTTCTACACTCCTACAAAAACTCCTTATATGCCACGTGATGCTCTAATAAATTAGAGAAAATCTAAGAAAAACTATAAGACAAAAAAGCAAAATATCTAGCCATTGATTTACAGTTAAACTGGTGGATCCATTATTTTCGACTATTACATTAGATCTATTCAAGTAATCCATTGTGACTATAAGTAATAGCGTTCTTACATTCCTACAAACACTTTAAAGATGGCATGTGAGAGAATCTAAGAAAATTTATAAGAAAAAAAGTAAAACATCTAGCTATTAATGTACACTCAAATCGGTGATCTATTATTTTAAACCATTATATTAGATCTATTCAACTAATCCCTTGAGTCTAGAATCTAGCTAATTCCTCCCTAGGTGTATACGTACACAAGAAATGTCAAAAAGAAAAAAAAATGAAGAGTGAGTATACGAAACACCCCATCGGGTAGTTTTCTTTTTCTTTCTTTGCAGTCCTAAGGTTTTTCTCAAATTATGCATATATGTAGCAATTACTCCTAACAAGATTGTCTAAGAAGCCTCATGGTACTGCTGCGCCGCTTCACGCCATCCCACCAATTTTCTTAAAAGTATCTTTTTACTAAAAGGTAAAAGGTAATCGCAGACACTCATACAAACATGTGCAGATCCACCATATGAATACACATATGCACACCTAACCCCTATGAGAGAAAAATATTTGTCAACAAAAAGAAAAAGTACGTACATACATACGAGAGATTATTATTGGCTAGAAAAAAAAACATACTTGCGTATAATCGGAAATGTCACGTGGAACCACATTATATCCCTTATAATTATGTGATTCTCATCTAAATAGTGTTAACAATTAGCACCCCACAAATAAAACAAGTGGCACAAATAATTTTGACAATATAGATTATTCCATCGTATATATATTACCCACGAAGTTAGATGTATAATAAAAGAAAAAAACCTATATTAATTAACTCATACGTTTGAGAAACATGGTGACAGGCGAGATTATATATAACTGGAACAAAATGATTTTTGTTTGAACATGACTGTTATTATCATTATTATGTCAAAATCTTTGATCTACTCCACGGTATAAATATTTCTCTTTTACAATTATAAGCTAGCGTGTTGTTAAGATATGACTTATTTCAGTATTCTTTTTATAAACAATAAATAAATTGGCCGCGCATCTGCGCGGGCTTTCTTTCTAGTTATCACTATAATAGCTGGAACTAGAAATTTTGCCAATAGATATTACTCTCTTTTGAAAAAGAGTAAATTGCTAGCGGTCCTTAAACTTGTAAGTAGGTTTCATCTAGATCCACGAACTTGCAAAGTGTGTATCGAGGTCCCTAAACTTGGTTTATTGTATCATCCCGGTCCAAAGTCTCATTTGACCGTGGTCTTACCTACGTGGCATGACATGTAGACGATGACATGGCACAATATTATTATTATTTCTTTTTTTTTCTCACTTCTTCCTCTCTCATTTCCCTCTTCTTTGGCCTCTTCAACGTGGGGGAGCTCGAGGTGGCTCTAGTGGAGGAATAAGATAAAAGAATAGGAGGAAAAAAGAAAAGGGGGAAGGAAAAAAACGCCATGTCATCGTCCACGTGGCGTGTCACGTAGACAAGACCACGGTCAAACGACGCTTTGGACTGAGATAATACAATAAACCAAGTTTAGAGACTTCGATGTGTGCTTTGCAAGTTCGTAGATCTTAGTGAAACCTCATGACAAGTTTAAGAACCGCTAGTGCATTTTACTCTTTGAAAAATGTACTGAAGTGTTAAGATACCTGATGATTGTTCTGTCAAATTGGGGCAGTCATTCATATGTATTTCGATACTGTTGCCACGTAGCAAGCCTTCGGAAATAGAATGTAGCGCAGGACAGCCCGACAAACGTATAACTTGGAGAGAAGGTTGGTGCTCTAACCATTCTGGTAAAGTCTCCAGTTTGTTGCAATTGTCAATTGCCAAGCTTCTAATAGAAGAAATATGTTGCAGACCTTGCGGGAGGCATGTCAGCTCATGACACCCGCATATGTTTAACTTCTTGAGCCTGGCGAGATCTTGCAAACCCTCAAAGTTAGAAGAAGATTCCAGCTCTTCCCCAAAACAGATTGATATTTGTTCCAGATTTCTTGCCACACTTCTAAGGCCTCCTTTTGAACCATATAACATCTTGTTGTTCATCCACAAGGTCAACTTTTCAACAGATGGAAGCTCCATATGCAAAGCACTCAATTTGGGGCAGTGAATAATTTCCACTTCTGCAAGACAAGGAAACGCACCCGTCCTGTCTGCCTGTTCCCAGAGTTCAAGGTTATGCATATAAGAGAAAGTTAACTTCTCCAGAGAGGGGAATGTGCCATTGTGACCATAGAAATTGTTGTCAATGCAGGTGATACTTTCAGCTCCACTTATCTCGGCTATCCTCATACGTGGTAGTATCCCCAGAGGAGGTAAGGATTTACATTCTGTGAGATTAATCAGTCTTATCTCAACCAGAGATTTAAGATATGGTTCGGTGTGTGTCATCCAAGATGGAAGCTTATCACCTTCATACGCAACAAGCTCCAGCTCTTTCAGCTGTTGTGGCGGTCGAAGAATCTCAATTAGTTCATAGGCTGCTGTATTGGCATGTTCAGTATCCATGTTCCACCTCAGTGCCAATGATTCGAGTTCTAGCTTATCTTGCAGCATGGCATCTCTTGCATCTTTCAGATCCAAAACATTTTCAAGTCTTTCTAAGCTTAGCCTGTGCAGGTTTGCCAAAGGTTGCAGCTCTGACAGCATAACTACATTGCTGTTTGAAACAACATACCCTAGCAATGTCTGAAGGTTTTTAAGATTTCCGAATCTGTGAGGCATTCGAGTAAGTGATGCACATCCAAGAACACTAAGATACTCAAGGCTATTAATTTTACTGATGTTCTGAGGTAATTCAGAAAGATAGCGGCATCCTTCAAGGTCTAACTTGTGTAGCCGAGAAAGCCTGCATATATTTCGATGCAGTTTTTGGAGCTTTCCACAGTAGGATAATTTCAGAGTATGCAGAAGTTGTAGTTTGGATATTGAGCTGGGGATGACTCTGATATCTGTCCCTGATAGGTTGAGAAATGTCAAGTGGAAGAGTAGGTCGAATTTATTAGGGAGCTTCCTGATCTTAGTGGCTTCTAAACTGAGGACTTCAAGATGTCGAAGTGTTTGACACAATTCTTGGGGAATCTGTTTGATCTCACACTGCCGATCAGATGAGCACGTTTTCCCTTCCTGTAGCAAAATAAATGTCTTTAACATCTTCAATTGGGACATGCAAATTGGCAGCGATTCCGTGGAAGGATGAACGAGCAGTGATGCACTCCGAGTAGACAAGATAATGTCTTGAACAGCATTGAACTGACCAACTCTGATGATTGAGCTGGAAACTCTGTCTGCATATTGCACGAAGATGTGCAATATCTTGTGCATCCTGTACATATGCCTACCTCCATGATCATATTCTTCCACCGGATAAAAGCACTCATCAAGAAACTGTTGGAGGAATCGTATTCGTTGGGCTTCAGGCACGGTCGACGGTATAAAGCCTTTGGCAGCAAAAAGATCAGCCAGTTCTTCAGCAGTGAAGTTGAAGTCCAATGGGAACAGCGAGCAAAAAAGAAAACAATTCCGCAATTCGGACGAGAGATGCTGGTAACTGGCATAAGCTCTCTGAAAGACATCAGTCAGTTCTTCCTCTTGTTGAATCCTCCAAGAACCTTCCAGAACTCTTTTCCACCGGATCAGAGTTAGCTGGTCCCTTTGAAGTATAAGAAATGATGTGTACTCTAACAGCAGAGGCACACCGGCACATTTTTCGACCAACTTGATACCGTACTCGTGATAAGGGGGAAGGTACATGTCCATGACGTGTTTGGAGGATTCCTGGTCCAGTGGTTGCAAGAAGTAAGCCTCAGTGGTTCGCATGACGACGGCCGTCCGTGGTATGATAGAGGGAGTTCGTGTGGTGAGAAGGATCCTGCCATTTGGGGGGAATGCCAGCATAAGGTTGTCCCATTCAGGCCAGTCGTGCTGGCCAACATTCCACACGTTATCCAGGACGACCAAGTATTTCGCTCCTCCTCTTAGAACACTGGAAATTACTTGTTGCAGATAGGATGGCCCATCCTTCCTATCGACCAACCAGCTGCTTGTAATCGTACTGACACCCTCAGATAGATCAAAATGTGGTGAGAGATGCACCCAATGCCGCACCTGGAACGCCTGCTTGACCCTATCGTCGTTGAATAGGAACCGGGCTAGATATGTCTTTCCCATCCCAGGCCCTCCCACTATCGGTAAAACCAGCGGCCCGTCGCCCTCCTCCTCCTCGCCGTCGGCGAGCAACATCCTCCCCAGCATCTTCTCCGCCAGCTCTGATCTCCCCACCATTGGACTTTTGACATAGTCGTCGGGACCCACATCGTTCGTCGAGGTTCCTACTGGATACAAGTCTTCGTCCATACTCTCTCCAGACTCTGGCACGGAGGCAAGTGATTCCTCTAGCCCCGCAAGCTTCTTCAACAAACTCCTAAGCTCACGGACGGTGGCACGGCGAAAGAAGAGGTTGCTAATGTGGAGAGCGGTTACCTGATACCAAGAATCTGGTTCCACCTGCCTGCTCAGGATTGCCTCAAGCTCGCCGCGAAGGTGGGCGAACAATCTTCTCGCTTCCTCGAGACGGCGATCATAATCTCCACATGTTGCCAACACAAGGCATTTATCTCGCCTGTCGATGATATTGTTGATGATGTTGGGGAAGCGCGCGATGGAGTCACGCACTGCGCCGAGCAGGGCGTCCAATTCCAGCAGCCGGCTCTGGCTCTCCATGCGCGCCGAGCTCAGAATGTCGATCACCCTCTGCAGATCTGCTGCGACATCCATGGCTCCCTGATACTCTTAACGCTCTAACACCTCTCTCCCAGTCTGCTTCTCGGCTGATCTCCTCGCTCCCGTAGTCCCGTCGCATATAGACTACAGAGTTGGCTCCTCTGCATTCATCCTGTACTTCTTTGACTAGATCCATTTCTTTAAAATTCGATGGGTAGTACAGATCACACACCAAACCTAAATTTAAACCAGAACGCATATGCACGGGCATCTAATTTAATGTTGCTTGAAATATTACTCTACACATGTGGATATAATATTTGTATATACGTGATGATTCTATTCTCAACCTGTTTTTTTTTAAACTAGCTGGGTGGCCCGCGCAATTGCGCGGCTAGCACCCAAACAAAATCATATATTTTTTTAGTATGATTTTACTTAAAATTTATTAAATAGCTATCTCATTATCTTATAATACTTTAAAAGACCAAACCTTATCATCCTCGTGTTTTTAATTATATAGTTTTTAAAAGTCACACCAGTTGCTACCCCTTATATCATCTCCTTCTTTATTTGCTTGCTCGATCTACCACTATTTCTATTCATTCTTCTTAGAACCTTTAAAAATTGGATTTCATAGTTTTTAGAGTTTATTGTCACGTTGGGTTTTGTTTTTATAATTTCTAGATGTCCCGTCAAACGTTACCATTATACTCATCTATGGCCCGTCTACTGTTTCTTCTCTTTATTGTCATTGAAATTTTAAAAATCGAACATAATTATCGTTTGGGTTCATTTTTACTTTCTAGAATTCCCGCCAAACCATCAGCGGCTTTGCCATTGTACTCCTCTATAGCTCGCCCGCTACCTCCCTTCTTTATTGTTATTGAGATTTTAAAATCGAACATGATTATCATTGGGTTTTTTTTTACTTTTTGGAAGTTCCGAACCTTTAAAAATTGGACTTGTAGTTTTATTTTTTATAATTTTTAGAAGTCCCATCAAACGATGCCACTATGCCCCTCTACAGCCCGTCCGTCGCCTACTATTTATTTTTAATTCATTTTTAATTTTTTAGAAGTCTAGTCAACCGTCGGCAGCTCTGCAACTATACTCTTATACACCCTGCCCGCTGCTTCTCCTTTTTATTGTCATTAAGATTTTAAAAATCAAATATGATTATCAATGTTTTTTTTTTACTTTCTAGAAGTCCCAGCAACTGCCTTACTTGTTTGCTTCATGGCCTAACTGATGTCCCTCCTTTTAATCGTCATTACGATTCTATTTGGTGTTTTATTAACAATTTTTATATGTCGTATCAACCGCCACCACTCTACTCCTTTGTAGGCATGTTACTTAATTTATCTCGTCATGTGTTTTAGATGGTCTTTTCTTTTAATAGTCTTTATTTTTATCACAAATTTTAGTTATTTATAAATTGTATTCCTAATTGAAAACTTATTTTTCTTTTTCTAATTTCAGAATTTAATTTTTAAAAAAATTAGTTAATATCATATTATGTTCTTTTAATGTTTTTATTTTTTATTTTCAATTTCAGTTGTTTCAAAATTGTATTTCTACTTGAACTCTCCTTTCCTTTTCTAATTTCGTATTTTATTTTATTTTTATTTTGAATTTTGATTAATCTTGTATTGGGTTCTTATATGGAAACTTCTTTCAATATTGCTTATTTTTAATTCCGAATTTCAGCTATTTTTAGATTATACTCCTACTTGGACTGTCCTTTCCTTTTCTAATTTTGGATTTTATTTTATTTTTATTTTGAATTTTGATTAATCTCGTATTGGGTTTTTATATGGAAACTTCTTTCAATATCGCTTATTTTTAATTCCTAATTTCAGCTATTTTTAGATTATATTCCTACTTGGGCTCTCCTTTCCTTTCTAATTTTGGATTTTATTTTTTTATTTCGAATTTTGATTAATCTCGTATTGGGTTCTTATATGGAAACTTCTTTCAATATTGCTTATTTTTAGTTCCGAATTTCAGCAATTTTTAGATTGTATTCCTACTTGGACTCTCCTTTCCTTTTTCTAATTTTGGATTTTATTTTATTTTTATTTCGAATTTTGATTAATCTTGTATTGGGTTCTTATATGGAAACTTCTTTTAATATTGCTTATTTTTTATTCCGAATTTCAGCTATTTTTAGATTGTATTCCTACTTGGACTCTCCTTTTCTTTTTTTTTCTTTTTCTCCGATTAATGTGGGAATTTCTAGCCTCCACAGCGAACGTGGTGCCTTCTTTTCGAGCTGTCTTAATAATATAATAGATATTTTGTTTGTGACTATTTTGAATGCTAATTATCCTTGCAACACATAAATTCTAAATAAAAATTACTTACAACCATGAAATCTTGAATTCTAGGAAAGTATTATGTCGCAACAATAGAGTTGGTTCCTATGAACTGTCATCTAAACTATATGTTCTTTTTAATACATATCAAATATTCGCGTTGGAGTGATAAACTTTAAGAAAGTTATTTTCTTAAGAATAGTTATTGAACTTCAAGCAAATAAAAGTTCCAATGATTTTTGCAGTTTGTTTTGGGCTTTGGATTCAACAAAATTTGTTTAAATTTAGCCCAAATTTTGTTTGAATTCCATATGTCCTTTCTACTTCTTTTGGAGTATTAGAGGTCTATGTTCTATCACTCGTTCTTGAAATGCTTTTGATCTCTTTAAATTGGGACATAAACATAACTGTGTTGAGTGTACAACTCGATATGGGATAAATGCGTCCTTTCTAAAATCCTGCCTCTAAAATTGAGCCAAAAAATTATAACAGTAGACATAGTATGTTTTACTTCCTCTGAGATCAATATCTGTGTTGAGTGTACAACTCGGTATGAGATAAATCCGCCCTTTCTAAAACCCTGCCTCCAAAATTGAGCCAAAAAAAATTATAATAGTACACATGGTGTGTTTTACTTCATCCGAGATCATTATGTATGTGAGACATCAATGTGAATATGCATTAAGGGACACGCAAAAATTCTATTTTAGCTATCGCAGAAAAAAAAAGGGCAAAGAAGGCGCATATGTACGTACTTGTTGTAGCCGTGGAGAATATTTTAGAATTTTATTTGTTAGATCTAACTGTCTAGACCAATCAATTTATTAGAAATTTTTTCACCATAAAAGAGCATAATATCTTTTAACTACCGATTCTAACCAAAAAAAAAAAGGGGGAAAAGGGGCATGATAAGGAAACGGCTATGGTGGTTGGGAAAGTTATAGCAGCAAAAGCCATCAAATGAGCAATTGTCCCAAAATAACTGAAGGGAGTAGAAGAGAAAATTGTGGTTGGGAAGGTTATAGTAGCAAAAGCCATTGAAACTAATATTTTATATACAGGAATAATTCGTTTTGTTATTAATGGGAAAAAGTGTGGCTAAAAGAAGAGAAATCATTAGAAATAAATGCTCCCTCCATCTGGTTTTTACCCTTTTTACCACCCCACCCTCACCTTTCCTCCATCCATTTTTTTCACTTTTTACCCCCCCCCCCCCTCCGTGTTTCTTTTTCTCCTTTCCATCTCATCCGTGCCCCATTGAAGCGCCCGATAAATTATTAACCATCTAGATTTTTTTTTAGTTTTCTCGTTCCTTCTTTTCAGATCTTTTTTCTCATTTAATTAAAATATTTACCATCTAGTTTTTCTTTCTGACTTTTATGTTTTTATAGTGTTTCCCATGTTTCAATAGTAACAAATTTACTCTTTAGAGTTTTCCATTTGCTCCCATCCTCCCACTTCTGTATCTTCAAAAATAATAAATTTACTCGCATGAATGCCCCCTTCACAAGTAACAAATTTACTTGCAAGAATGCCCCCACATCGTTCGGCACCATTCCTAGATGGCCTTAAAAAAATACTACCAACTTACAACGCTAGCAATTCTTTTACCAGTGTTACAAATATTGTTTAGACTTCGTAGTCTGCAAGTAAAACAATTATCACCTTTCTCTCAATGTAGTCCATGTTCAATGTAGTCCATGTTCTCGTAGTCACCACATAGTAATATATTTACTCATGTGTTTAATACATAATACATGAGTAAAAACTGATACTAATTATTTTTCACAGAGTATTGTTAATTTGAATCACAAAATGATTGTCCGAATGAAAAATTCATAGGCTCAATCACACAGGTGAATCAAACTAGAAAAGAAAAAATGGTTCAGCTAAAAATCCATCTTGAAGTTGGGATCCTAGTGGCTTTGCTGGATCTTGCGACAAGGATCGAGAGGCTGGTCTATATCTTGTGACTGGTGGTGGAGAAGGCAACCGGGTGGCAAGTGACGGTGGGCTATGGAATCACGGAAGGATGTAGTGGCGCGGTATAGAGATGAGCTCGGCAATACCCATAAGGCCATCCATCGTCTAGCAACCAGAAAAAAATGCAAAAAAAAACATTCTTGTTCATGTCACAGAGACGACGAGCAAAAAAAAAAGCAAACAACCTTTGTCACCGGCTGACTCCACCATATACTCTGCAGCCAGCCACATGGAGAACGATGTGCACATGTAGAACCTATGCAGCACATCAATTCAGATAAGGTAATTGTGCAGATTGCACGCTAATTTGATTTTTAAAAAAGAAATTGGTGTTTCATGCGTGAATGTGAAGTATAGTATGCATATGCAAATTGGAGTGTCATTTCCTTACTTACTTGTTCAGTCAATGTCGTCGCCGTGGTAAATGATGTGGAGTACCCGCTGGTTGTTTCTCTTGGCCTGGGTGAACATCTCCCCCTTGCTGGCGAAGGCACTGCCCGGCGTCCGGCGGCGAGGCCCGGAGCTTCATCGTGGCCTTTATGCTCCACGCCTCAGCCTCACCGGTTCAGGCAGCAGCACTGCAGTGCAGTCCATCCAAGAAACGTACAGCGACAAACCGACGGTGAATGCACTAAATTGCCAGAAAGGAATCAATCGCTTGATGGGCTCACCTGTGGTGGCGATGGAAGGAGAAGCGAACTCCGCTGGCTAGAGACCATCCCCTCTTGCATCCGTCGATTGAGCATGTCTCTACTCACTATCCAGAGACCACGGCTTGCCGCTGCCACCAGGAGAGGGAAAGGGAGGCGCGTACGCACATGAGGGGGCTGATGAAGACGATGGCGATGGCTGGTTCTCCCGTCTTCGCTGCGTGCGAGATGGGGGAG